AAAGTGCTTCCTGCCAACATACATGCAAATGATCAACGGTCTCAAACTAATGCACCTTAAGATATAAAACTATGCACCTTAAGTTATAAAATTACGCACCTTAATCTATAAAGTAATAAAACTACACACCTTTAAGTTTTAAACTAATGCATCTTAAACTAGAAAAGTGACGCACCATTATAAGCTTTATACATACGCAACTTAAACTATAAAACTACGCACCTTAACCTTTAAATTGATGCACCTTAAACTTTAAAAATACACAGTTTAAGCTATAAAATTATGCACCTTAACCTTAAAACTTAAGCACCTTAACTAGAAAGTGACGCACCTTACGTTTTAAACATACGCACCATAAGTTTTGAACTTATGCAAAATTATCATAACACCACTGCGATTTTTTTTGAAAATTTTCTTCAATTTGAACCGTTAATTTTCACTAAATCAAGGATTGAGATAAAACCCCATGCATCTTTCACATGCAGCCTATTATCGCACCTGATCCTTCATATATATATATATATATATATATATATATATATAAAGGAGTGGGAATTGAAAGATTTCTTTGGTGGACTTGTTCAACCAATTAGAGATGTTGTAAGGGACAATGGAATAACACATAATCTAATGGTTTCTTAAAATGTCTCTAAAGCTACAAATGTGGGGGCCAATCATTAACAACTGTCCAACACAATTCACAAATGCTTTGGTTGATGTCTTTAATAATATTATAATTATAATTATTAAATAATGACTTGATTCACTTTATTTTAATCTCTTTTTGGATGCATTTCAAAAAATGTGAATTGAATTTAAAAATTGCTTTATAGAATTTGGAATGTTTACTATTAGTTTATATGGTCTGTGGCAACTTGTTGAATTGAATTATTTATCATAATAATAAATTCAACAATTTATTTTAATTATATATTTGTGCTATCGTTACTAATTATATATAACTTTTAGCATAATGATGAATATTTTATCACGACAAATTGGTATCAAAGTATGTTGGGTGGCGCTTGGAGGTTTGAGTCCAGCATCGTATCATACTACCATCGATATGAGATGTTGACTATCATGCAAGTATAAGGAAATAAAAATTTGTCTTTGTTACTAGATATAACTTTTGGTGTAGTGTAAGAGATTGCTCCTAATAGAGTAGGGGTATTGTTAGGATTAAGCGTCTATCACTACTCCAAAAGTTATAGCTAGTATCAAAGACGAAACTTTATTTCCTTATAGTACACTTGTGTACCTGCCATTGTCACGTTTTGATAGTAAGATATTGGACTTGACATATTAAGCTGCAGCCCAACATGTATATTGCGTAATTTATGACTGACAAATGTTGGGAGGAGGATTGTTATGTCTGAACTCAAAATGTAGTATTGACTGCTACGTAAATATAATAAATTACACTTGCGTCTTTATATTTTTGAGATGACGGAAATTAAAGGAGTATATATATATATATATATATATATATATATATATATATATATAGATTTTGGTTTCTGTGAGGTCAGGTCTTCCCGTGCGGTCAGTGCGGCATACACCATTAGGTATGCATAAATACACCATACAGTGTTCGAAAATACACCAGAATGAAATGTCAAAAAATACACCACACAAAAAAAAGTACACCACATATAATGGTGTATTTAGAAACACTGTGTGGTGCATTTATGCATATCTAATGGTGTATGCCGCACTGACCGCACGGGAAGACCTGACCTCACAGGAACCTGACCCTATATATATATATATATATATATATATATATATATATATAATATAATATAAAATTTAGACTTGAGAACTTAAATAACAATATATCATTTGACAAACTTGATATGTACAATAAACATTTGGTTAATTAGTCTTTTGGAATAAAATATTAGGGTTTGCCTGCTCTAAGAAGATATGCAAGATCTCATTGAAGACCCTAATGGTTGGTATATATGCTTACATCACCGCCCACTTCTTTAATATTCCTTTGATTAGCAACTACCGTCGCTAAATGGTTATTTAATGTACCCAAAAACATGGTCAAGACACACCCATTATATTATATAAATAAAATATTTATATGTTTTTCCACACCTCAAATCTTCTTTAAGTATGTTAATATGGATAATCACAAGAACCTTCTTTGAAGTGCTGAGTTATCACAAATGTACAGTTCTTCATCTGTGTATGAACATGATTTAGCAACATGTAGCTTGATTGGACTAGGCACCCACAGATACTTCTACAAACACGGTGAATATATATATATATATATATATATATATATATATATATATATATATATATATATATATATACAGTTTAGTTTCAGTGCGGCCTCGCCTTAACATGCGATCAGTTCGGACGGACCAATAGTTATGCAAACATGCACCAATAGTTATGCAAACACGCACCAATAGTGGTAGGAAACACACAACAACAAAAAATATACCAATACACAAAAAACGCACCACACATCACCACATAGTGCTCGGAAACACACAATTAGGTGTGGGCATGTATGATGCATTTTTTGGATGTGGTGTGTGTTTTGTGGTGAATTTGTATATTTCATTGTTGTGCGTTTTTCTAACACTATTGGTGCATTTTTCTACACTATTAGTGCAGCCGCACCGTCTGCACGTTAAGGCGCGACCGCATTTGAGCTGATATATATATATATATATATATATATATATATATATATATATATATATATATATATATATGGTTTATCTTCGAGTGAAAACCTACTTTATTGTGTGAACCTCAGAATCTATACATACACTTAATGTTGTATTATATAACGGCTCAGAACACACACACACACACACACACACACATATATATGGGTTATCTTCGACTCTTCGAGTGAGAACCTACTTTATTGTGTGAATCTTAAAATCTGTACACACCCTTAATGTTGTATCATCTAATGGCTCAAAACACATTGTACAAGAGTATTTTAATTTTTATATTATTTTTTCCGTTTTAATTCTCGATAGAATTATTGCTGCGAGCCTACCAAATAATGAAATTTAAATTACTTCTTTATCCCCACATTATTTTTTATCCTACAAAATTAATTTTTTTTTTCTTCTTTTAATTCCATCTTTTCAACCAAATGCCCAGCAACTGCGTCAAACAAAGCATGAACTATACGACTGTTCATGAACAGTGTTGGTTACGTGGGTTGGAATTATAGAGTAAAATAATCATTAAAAAAAAGCATATAAGAACAGTGTTAGATTTGGTAGAAGCCATTCTCTTTCCAGGTGATTATTCTATACCCTATAACCTACTCCTCCTTTGACTTTTGTTGGTTACAGTTAATATAATAACCTATTTTCTCCACCTTAAGTATGGAATATTTGTTTTTCTAAGTGCCCAAGTGGGCAGTACATACAATTGCATGTTTTTCTAATGTTGTTTAAAGTTGTAGGGAGACTATCATTAATTTAATCAAATTAGAACTTTATTTCATATTTTAAGTGGTGGGAAAAAGGTTAATGGTGTATCTTACTATACTGATTTGGAGAAGATTTTGTATAAAATAATGTTTTGCATGAGACAGCTTCCCTAGTATGACTATTATTTCCCCCCTTTCCCTCTTTTAATTTGCTTATTTTGACCATTTTTACATGTAGACTGTTCATGATTGGTATTATTATTGTTTTTTTAAAACCCAATTTTTTGGGTTAGATTTTTTATTAAGAGTTGTACTTTAATTTTACTGGTGTAATTTGAGCTAAATTCAAATTAGTCTTATAGTGAAAAGGGTATCGCGTGCATGCCGTTATATGAAAAGAACTCAGTTTTGCTCATAAGTGTACAATTTGGTGGTGCATCTCGAAGCTAAATTGACTCGATTTACTTTTTCATGAGCCTGGGGCATAGAGTAATTAAGTCATAATGAACACGACTTGCTGATATTCAAACCCATGACCTTTGGTCTGACTTTGATACCAAATTGAAGCATGTGCTCCATTTCAACTAAAAGCCTAAGCTAATAGTTAGATTGCACATTAATGACTACATGCTCAATAATAAGGATACCGCGAGCGTGCCATAGTATGAAAAAAATCCAAATTGTTTTATATATATATATATATATATATATATATATATATATATATATATATATATATATATATATATATATATATATATATATAATCGCACTCAGGTGCGAATGCTTCGCCCAGGCGCGAAATAGGAATGAATTCTGTTTGTCCACGTGTCCAGATCTAATGGATGAGAAACACTGATTTTTTTAAAAAATGCAGTGACATTTTCGTAAATAATTGAACATCGAAGTGCAAGTAAAATGTATTATAGGTGCAAGTAAAAATTTACACTGAGCATCAATACTTAGTTGCACCTATAGTTCTAAGTAGTTGCACCTATAGTTCTAAGTAGTTGCACAAATAGTTATAAGTAGTTGCACCTAGGTGTATGAATGTTTGCGAGTGGTTTTCAGGGGTATTACTACCCGCAGAACTCAGATCAATGAATGTTAACAAGGCAAAATTACATGCACTTATAAGTGAAAGGAGGTGCACCTATAGTTATAAGTAGTTGCACCTATAGTTATAAATAGTTGCACATATAGTTATAAGCACACCCAGGTGCATGAATGTTTGCGGAAAGTGAATGCTAACAAGGCAAAATTACATGCACTTATAGGTGAAAGTACGTGCACTTGTAAGTGATTTTACTTGCACTTCGATGTTCAATTATTTACGAAAATGCCACCGCGTTTTTTTTTAAGTTATTAGATCTGGACACGTGTCGCGCGGTGATTCGTTCGCATTTCCCGCCTGAGCACTTATTCGCACATGAGTGCATCCCTATATATATATATATATATATATATATATATATATATATATATATATATATATATATATATTTTATAATATTTGGATGCAATGCATAGTCAAACCCCAATTTCCATATATTTACTATATAAGACAGAGAGCCACAACAACATTATACCATCCATTAAGGTTGTCGTTTCAAGCAAAAAACATAAAAACATGGCTAAAGATGTCTCCACTTCTCTTTCTTCTTCTCCATGCAACAACAATGGAGATCTCGCCGTCGACGAATCCATGCCGGCGGCGAAGAAGCTCAAACTCTTCGGCTTTGACCTCAAAACCAAGACAGACTACGTGTCTTCCAAGGAAGACCACGAGAGCGTGAACTCATCCTCGTCTTCCACCGTCGTTTCCTCCGCCTCCAGGGAGAAACCCGCCGCCGCACGCGGCGGCGCCGGCGCCGGCGAGAAGAAATTCGAGTGCCAGTATTGTTTCAAGGAGTTCGCGAACTCGCAGGCGCTGGGAGGGCACCAAAACGCGCACAAGAAGGAGAGGATGAGGAAGAAGAGGCTTCAGATTCAGGCCAGAAAAGCCAGTCTTAGCTGCTATTATCTTCAACAACACCCATTTCTTCACAATCATAATAATAATAATAATAATAATAATTCTCCTTCTTCTTCTTCTTCTTCATGGCTATTCGACCCTTCTTCTGCAAATCATTTCACCCCTTTTGAAGGCTCTCAGATCAGCTTCGGCTCCCAAGAACCCTTTCTCCCAGATTCATCCGCCATGTTCTTCACTCTTACAAGCAATAATACCAACCCCACATCTAGAAAGATTAGCAAGAATCATTCAAACAAAACCTGCAAATCTTTAGATCTTCAGCTAGGATTGAGCTTGCTGCATTCAACACACTAGCTATAGATATATATGTGTGTGTAATCATCTTTAATTTAATTAGCTTTTTTTTTTTTTTTTTTTTTTTTTTTTCCAGGAAATTTTTGTTTAAGTTATTGTCTTTCCAGATCTGATCTTCTGTATATGCTTAATATGGAAAAAGCTGTAAATTTCCATCTTGGGTTGTTGACATATTTGGCTATAAAAAATATAGTCTGAAAAAAAATATAAAAAAAGTTTTTACTCCTCTGTCCGAATTTATGTGTTGGATTTCAGTTAATAAGACTTGACAGAATTTATTTATAATTATTTGTCATAATATTAAGATTAGAATTAATATGTAAAATGTATATATTTAGAAATTATGTTAAAAATACTATTAAATATTAAATTTAAAGATTATAAAAATATACAAATGAAAATAAACAAAATAGAAAGAGTTGTCTTGACTAATGAATAATAAGTATGTAGAACATATAAAATGGGCAGATTTGTGTAAATTAGATAGTGAATAACTTATTTCAAGAGATATATTTTAATTATTTTTATTAAAATAGTATGACAACCTGTTATGCAATGGATTTTTATTTTATTGTTTTGGTGGGATGATGAGAAAACTATTAGTTGTTTTATATGAAGGTTGATTTTTTTTTGAAGGTCAATCATGCGATTGTATTAATGAATCAAAGTCGAAATAGTGTCAGGTGGGATAGCATTCCAGTACATTGCTTGATCTTGTGTAAAAGCTAACGAGGTTAATGTATGCGTATGTAAATTAACTTGTCTAGAGACATAGTCTAAAGTAATGCGATTAAATAAAGACATAAGTGTTCTGCATTGGTCAATTGTGACCCCAACGTACGAATAACCAGATAATTGTAGTTAACTCCTTGCAATCCGTGAGTACATTTACTGATGTGTTGTTCCGCTCAAGTAGCCAGGACAATGCTTCCTTGTACGCCTGTGTCTCCGCCATAAGTGGTGAGAAGCAAACCGGCAACTTCCCATTCCTTGCTGCCACAACAGAGCCGTCCGGCGCTACAAGTAGTATGCCGTACGTAGCCTCGCCCGTGCCGTGACGGAAGCCTGCATCCACGTAACACCGTAGACCTCCACCTCCTGGTTCGGTTGGGGATACCGATGCAGCGTCGGGCTGTGTGCGGTAATCCTGGGCAGCACCGTATGCTTGAAGTGCTGCGGCTGTTGCTCGGGCTGTTTAGGTAGGCCGCATCATAGACCCCTTCCAAACAGCTGAGTTTCTGGTTCTCCAAATATAGTATAACACCGCTACCATCAGCCGGGTCTGTTCCTCCGTCAGGACTGCTAAAGCCCCTTTTAGCCATGATGTAAAAGAGTCTGCAATAATATTAGTAATAGGCAATTGTGTTATATTCCAAACAAGTGTAGAATATTCACAAAGCACTAAAACATGTAACACATCTTCATGATCTAAACCACACATTGGGCATATTGGATCCACCTCTACCCTTTTAATAATCAAATTAGTGGTTGTTGGCAAAATATCACATATGGCTCTCCACAAGAAAGTCTTCCACTTGGGGGGTACTTTTAATTTCCACATTGAGACCCATCTATCAAATATTACGGGATTATTCTCATAGTCGCCCACAATATGTCTGTAGGCATTCTTCACATTATATATCCCCTTTGGGTCACCCATCCAATACCATGAGTCCTCGTAATCAGGACTAACAAGGATCTTATTTATTCGTTCTACATCTTCAGGAATAAACAGGTCAGATAAAATATGTGGATCCCAGGTGTGTGTCTGTAAATCAATCAAACCTGCAACCCGTGCCTCTCTTAATTGCTCTGGCATTTCTGTTTGGACCAATGGGCTAGGGTTATCTCGTAGCCACGGATGTCCCCATATTAAAGTTGTTTGGCCATTCCCAATTCTCCTTCGCACCCCCGAGATTACCATTTATGTGCTGCCATTATACTTCTCCAACAATAACTTGGGCAATTACCAATAGTAGCATCAGTAAAACTGGTTGTGGGATAGTACCTTGCTTTATATATTTTTGCTACTAGCGTTCCTGGTTCTGTTAGAAAACGCCATGCCTGTTTTCCCAACATTGCAAGATTAAAAGCCCTGAGATCTTTGAAACCCATACCACCATACTTCTTCGGGACACACAACTTGTCCCAGGCCTTCCAATGTATTCCCCTTTCTCTTCCATTCCCCCACCAGTACTTATTCATAATTTGCTCAATGTTCTGACAAACTGTCTCAGGTAACAAAAAAACACTCATTGAGAAGGTAGGCATAGATTGCGCTACACTTTTCAATAGTACTTCTTTACCAGCCTGAGTAAGCAACTTTTTACTCCATGAACCAATCCGCTGCCTTATCTTCTCCTCCACATAAGAAAAAACAGCTCTCTTATTTCTTCCCACAAAGGAAGGTAGGCCTAAATATTTCCCAAAATTGGGTGCTTGCACCACCCCAAGATACTCCGCTACCTGCTCCCTGTCACTCCCCTGGGTATTCCTGCTAAAGCATATATTGGATTTATTATAGTTCACGACCTGACCTGACAATTTCTCATACCTTGCTAGGCACTGCCTTATAACTCCAGCCTCCTGGATATTCGCTTTAAAAAATAGGAGACTATCATCCGCAAAAAATAGATGTGACACAGGCGGTGCTCCCCTAGCCACTCTGCACCCATGTATAGAGCCTGCTAACTGCTCATATTGCAATATCATCGAGAGAGCCTCTGCACAAATAATAAATAAATACGGAGATAAAGGATCTCTCTGTCTGAGTCCCCTGGTTGGTCTCACGCACCCTCTTGCCATACCATTGACCATCACAGTATAATTAACAGTCGTTACACACAGCATAATAAGTTTATCCACCTCGCACTAAAACCCATAACTGTCAGCACTTTTTCCAGAAAGGTCCACTCAATTCTGTTATAGGCTTTTGACATATCCAGTTTCAATGCACCCCAACCTACTACACCACATTGTTTTCTATTTAGATAATCCCCCGCCTTAGCCGCCACCAAGATGTTATCAGTGATAAGCCTTCCTGGGATAAAAGCACTCTGGGATTCTGAGATTAGTCCTCCCATAAGCGTTTTCATCCTATTTGCTATCATCTTGGCCATAATTCTGTATATGACATTACTCAACGCAATCGGCCTTAAATCAGCAACCGTCTCAGGCACCTCCTTCTTAGGGATCAAAACAATGTTAGTATCATTCAAACCATCGGGGAATACACAAGAATCCAAGGCATTCATTATAAAACCAGATACATCCCCTCCCACCACCTCCCAAAACTGCTGGTAAAAACCCGGGTTTAACCCATCCGGGCCCGGTGCCTTATCTGGATACATTGAAAACAGAGTTGCTTTTACCTCGTCAGTCTCAAACGGGCGGTCCAACATCATATTTTGCGCCGGGGTCACTCGTGGGGTTAGAGCACCAAATAGTGGATCATCACAGTTCAATCCATTAGATGCAAAAATATTTTCAAAGTATTTTAGAATAGTTGCATGCATATCCTCCCCCTCCACCCAATCACCAGCATCACATTTAATACTTGAAATATAATTCTTTTTCTTACGAGCAGAGGCATACCTGTGATAGAATTTTGTGTTCACATCCGCTCCGCGAAGCCAGTGTTGCTTAGCTCGCTGTCTCCAGAACACATCCTCCTAGATCTCAATCTGTTTCAGGGAATTCTCAATCTGCTGGTACTCAGTTAGGGCCGCTGAATCTCGCCTATTCTGAATGGTATTTTGCCTCTGTTGTAACTGATTAATCCGTTTACCGAATTTATGGAATTGATCTCCCCCCCCCCACCCCCCCCCCCCACCGCATTAACTTCTCTCCACACAACCGCTGACAATACAGCAATCCTTCCGTTCTCCCCTCCTGCCAGGTTGTTTCTACCACTTCTTTACATCCTTCATCTAACAACCAAGCCATCTCAAACCTGAACCGCCGCGGTCCCCATCCCCTAGTCATGCATATTGCATTAATACTAAGGAAAAGAATCGAGTGATCCGAGGCCCGAGTCCGTATGTTCTCCAGCCATGCGTTCTCATGCATTACACCCCAAGCATTCGTTATCAAGGCCTTGTCCAGCCTTTCCTCTATCCAATTCGGCGTCCCTTTTCCTTTCTCCCATGTGAATTGGTGGCCCCTCATTGGCATCTGCATTAAACCACAGCCATCCACAGCATCTCCAAAACCCCGTAACAGGCTATTAGGGTATGGATTTCCCCCCTTCTTCTCATGTTGATATAGGAGATTATTAAAGTCACCTATTGATGTACGGGAAAGAGGTGGTGAGTATACGGGTGTAAATTGTCGTTCCGCAAGGGATTGGGACTATGGCGCGTACTTGAGTGACAACTAAAGTTCTAGGCACCAAAGTATTGGAACCCACAAGAATCCAAGCAAATTCAAATTCATGGTTGGGTAATGTCAACAATTAAGGGCTAAAAATCTAGTTAAGACAATGCAATTTAAACACAAGCAATCACAATGATAAAAGATGGGCTCAAATTAGGGGATGTTGCCTTCTAGATGCTTTAACAACTTAGGGATTAGGGGAGAACATTAACCAAGGGAACATAAGGGCAAAGCACATAAAAAATCCTAGCTTAAAGCCATTTTCATAAGCTAAAGAACAAGGATTAGAGGAAGGATTGCCCCACTTTCATGGTGTATCAATTCCTAGCTCTTGAAGCACATAAGCATTTAGGCCCCCAATTCTTCCCTATTTTCATAGAAAGAAAATGGGTTTAGAGAAAGGAGAGGCTTAAATTCTTCCCCCAACTTTCATTGTGGAGAAAAACTATCCAAAAGCAAGCTAATAAGAGTTACGTACCAAATATTAGCAAGATTAAACATAAAACCAACTCAAACAAATGAACCCTAGGTTAGGGTTCTTCCCCCTTATGCAATAATCACCTATTTAGCATCTAGGTTAGCAATATCACCCTAATCCAAGCCCAAAAACGAACTACTCACACTTCATAAGCATAAATAACAACAAAGCACAAGAAAATATCATAAACATTGCACAAAAGCTTAAGAAGAAGAGTAAGAAGCTTCTCTATTGAAGATGAAGATTTTGTGGTTGAATCTCACTCCAATCCATGATTACAAGCTTTGTAGAAGAGTTAGAGATGAAATACTAGACTAATCTAAGCTAAGGAAATGAAAGGAAAACGAGTTCTTGCTATCTAGGGTTCTCTCTTCTCTTTTTTCTCCAAAAAAAGAGTTATAACGCAGTCAAAAGAAAACAGAGATGGGCTGCTCGACATTCTGCCAGGATTCGACGCGTCGAGAGTAATTCTCGACGCGTCGAGTGCTGATCTGCATCAGAACTTCGACTTGCAGGCTAATTTTGACCCTTTTTTCTTCAGAATTAGGTTTCGGTGTCTTCATGAAAGTTGTAGATCTTCGAGTCTTCTTTCAAATGGCGCAAGAATCACTTAATTTGGACAATTCTAGGCCGAGATATGATCAAATTACCAAATAGTGGTCAGTTTCGGGTGAAATCTGTAAGTTCGGAACTTCAACTTCAAGGATGATTTTGACCACTGTGGCTTCCTTTTTAGGCTTTGATGTCTGAATATGAGTTGTAGCCCTTTGAGTCTTCTTTGCAATGGGACAAGAATCATGTAATTTGGATGTTTTTAGCTTGAGATATGGTCCAAGAACCATGACGTCGACGTGCAGGTCGGAAATTGCAATTGCATGGTGCTTGCTTCTCTTTTGCTTTGGTTTGCCCACATGACCAAGACCATTGAAAGAACCACCCTAGACTCCTTTGGAAGTGTTGCATCCATCTCCATAGCTTCATATTTGGCTCTCATTGACTCCAAATTCATCCAAAATACCTCAAAAATACACAATTGCCTGCACTCTACAATTTATGCATCAAAAGATATAAACAAAGGAATTAAGGCACTTCTTTGCATAAAATCAAAGTGTTTGTCACTCAAAATATGTCTATACAAGGGGTAAAAATATGGACATAAATGCACTTATCACCTATAACCACCCAGGGTAACAAGGATCTACTTTTCAGAGTGCCAAGCAAATTCCAAGTGTCCTCTCTCATATTTCACTCCGGGATACCATATATACATGTCATACGCCATAGCTTATTAAACAAACTAACCTCCACATCTATATGACTCTGCGAGTAACTTAATAATCTGACCGTATTATTCTTTCTCCACAAAAGCGCCATTCCACCACTCAACCCATCATTATCGACATAAAACAAACCTTCATACCCAAGCGTAACACGGATCCGTTCTGCATGTATCCGTGGCACCTTGGTCTCCATCAAGAACACAAAATCTGGCTTCTTACTGGACACTAGGCCCCACTATCTGTAGAACCGTGCGTGGATTGCCCAAGCCACGACAGTTCCAGCTCAAAGTACTCATGATGATGGGCGGGGCTGGGTACCAGCTCCCGCCATAGACAAGTTTTTTGAACCATCTTGCATTGTGACATCACCCGTATTACCCATATCTTCCAGCCTATCCGCCTGCACCTGCCTTCGACGCTTCGCCGTCACAACCACACACTCCTCCACCACGTTTCCCGCCCCCTCCCCCTTCTCCAATTCCACTGTTGCCGTGACACCCGCCGGCTCCCGAGGCATCACCGGACGCGGACGCCCCCCTACCGGTACGAGCCAGCTATCCCCAACCGCTCTAGGAGCGCTCCGGGATCCACCAGCACGCATATCCGGACCATACGGGTACCGTTCCAGTGGTATTCCTGCCTCCCTTGCATGAATGCAAAACGTGTGTAGGTGTCCCATGAAACCACAAAAATAGCAAAACTTATGTAACCGTTCATACCGGAAAGTGACCCATGCAGTAGTCTTGTCCCGTTTCATTAGCTTCATCCCTCTCCGTAAAGGGCGATCCACCGGTATGGATACCCGTATCCGATGAAAAGTTAGCCACGATGCCCCCTCGTAACGATCATCATGTTTAATAAAAGTACCCATAAAGTTTCCCGCCTGTTCCAAGATAGCCTGCTATGTATATCCCTTGGGCATATCATTTAGCTGTACCCACATATCAATCCTATTCAATTGGACATCCCCCGGCAACACACCATCCTGGACTTCCCGACAAACCAACGCATTATTCTCAAACGCCCAGGGACCACCATTCAAGACATAGTCCATGTCCGTTTTATGAAAGAAAACGAACAGGAACAAACCCTTCTGGATCTCCGTAACCTGCACTCCCCTGACCGGCTGCCACACAGATGCAAGAACCTGCCTCATAAAATCTAGCTTTATCATCTTCTGTGTGAGGAAACGTCCTACCACCTTCCATGTTTCTTCTTCCTCCTCACCCACCTCACTGCCATCGTCTCCGCCCACTGCCGGCATGAAAGCAGCGCCCTCCTCCTCCAACGCCCATTCCTCCCAACGATTTGTGATCGCCGCCACACCAGCCTCAACGTCCGTCGCAACCGCCGGCGCTGGAGGTCGTATGTTGACGTCGCGTTGCCTCTTCATACCCCGGCCCTCATCAGCTGTCAACCCTTGCATGTTCCCGGCCATTCGACCGATGGATCTCCGGCGAAAATTGCGAAAACCTAGAAACCCTAGGATGAAAGCGAAAACCCTAGTCGTCTACTAGAGAGAATTTTTTTAATGATCATGTGGTTTATAGAGTTTAAATAGGGAGAAAAAATAGAGTTTAAATAGTGAGAGAAAACATTCAAAGTTATTAGAAAGAAAATTTGAAATCTTTATGAGGGTTGATTAGTTCTGGATGATAGCCACTACTTTCTTCTTTATTTACTGCAACAATTTAGTAAACAAAGAACAAATGTTTTTTAGCTTTACACGAGGGAACTACTTGCAATTACTATTTTATCCTCGTGTTTCGGACTTGCACCATTTATATATCCTCGTGTTACATTTTTTTTTTTTTTGGAATAAGGTCCAAATTGACCCCTGAACAAAATGTGAAAGTGCAATTTGGTCCCTGAACGTAAAAGAAGTGCAATTATCCCCCTCAACATCTCAAATGTGTGCAATTTGACCTGATAGCAGGTTAACATTCCATCCAACCGGTTATATAATGATGTGTATGCTGACTTGGCATTTTTTTTTTTTAATTTCCTTTTATTTCCTTTTCTTCCATTCACCGTGTATTAAGGCAAAGCTTCAATAGAAATTCCCAAACCACGCATCAAAATTCCCAAACCCGCATCAGAAATTCCATTCATCGTGTACCTGCATCAGAAATTCCATTCACCGCGTACCTGCATCAGAAATTCCCAAACCACGCCCGTGAAAGCTATTAACTTGTTTGTTGTTAATATAACTATGTAAAATTGAATATTTTTTCATGAAATTTATCCTGCTTGTAAATTTGAGAGAAGATATCGATGGTGGAATATTACAACTGTTAGAGTTAGTTGTTTTGTAAAGAAGAAGACAAAAGAAGGAAATAAAAAAAAATGCCAAGTCATCATCCACGTCACACATGCAACCTGCTAGATGGGATGTTAACCTGCTATCAGGTCAAATTGCACATATTTGAGGTGTTGAGGAGGGTAATTGCACTTTTTTTTACGTTCAGGGATCTAATTGCACTTTCACGTTTCGTTCAGGGGCCAATTTGGACCTTATTCTTTTTTTTTTTTTTTTTTTTTTTTTTTAATACAATAAGTTTCGCCCAGCTTAGGTACGAATCTTAAGTCGCAGGAACCCTCCAGGTAAATTACACATGACCCAATAAGTCATGTCAGATTCCATTCGAAAGTGTCTATATATATACTCTATGCATAAAGAGTTTTCATTATCTCTTATCAATTCTTTGATGCATATATTATATTCTTTGTTTAACTAACCAATTAAGCAATAATCTACGAAAGAAACATATACAATTAAGCATAAAGTAATACTCCATCGATCATATATATCGCATGCATATATATACACACAGAATATAATATTAGAACTGAACAAATCGTCACCGTACCATTCCACGAATATATAGAATCTGACCGTCGTCGTATAATATACAAATTAAAATCGTCGCAATAAGTACAAACGCCTAACTGGCCATCGTCGGCTTCGCATTATTGAAAGCGTCGCATCTCTTCCTGATCTCGCCATCTTTTCCGGTCTTCACCTGATAAAGGCTGACCTTCTCTATGGCACGCGCGAACGCGTCGAAGAACGCCGTCTGGTTCTTGGCGTACAGGTCGACGTACGGCTTCGTTCTGGCGTCGGAGATCAGCGCCTGGTCGGAGGCCAACAGCCCCATGCCGTTTTGCAGGTTGATGTAATACATGTTGTCGAATTTCCCCGGCGTCATGACGTCATTGAACGCCGACATCCCCGTTTCTTTCGTGTAATTGGCGCACAGTTTTCGTAGTGCTTGGGCAAAGTTTGGGTTTAGCGTGGGGTCGATCTGTCAAACTCAAAGGTTAATGTTTAGAAATTCTACATTATATTTGAACAAATACCCCAATTTTGGTCTCATAAGTATTAACAAAATCACGATTTTGATCCACATGTTTAATTTCTACCAATTTTCATGCACTACTATTATTTTAGTACCAATTTTTATGTGATTATTATTTTAGTACAAAAAATTATCACACCGGTCACCCCTCCATTTATGACATGTCGAAATCTAAAAATTGTAAAGGTATTTTCGTCTTTTTAACATAAGATTCTAATTTGGACAAGAATAAAAGGATTTAAACCCTAAAATCGATCTCAATTCGCAGTTCTCCTCCTCCTCATCATACATTAATTTGTGGAGGAGAACTACGAATTGGATAGATCTTATGTTTAAATTCATTTATTCACGCTCAAATTGGGATCTTAATTTAAAAATGATGAAAATACCCTTAATAGTTTCATTTTCAGCATGCCTTAAACAAAGGGGTGACCAGCATGATGAATTTGAATTTTGACACTAAAATAATAGTTGTGGATGAAAATTGTTACTAAAACAATAGTCGTGGATGAAAATTGGTAGGAATTAAACATGTGGACTAAAAACTGTTATTTTGTTAATATTTGTGGGACCAAAATTGGTATTTGATCATTATATTTGAAAAATGAATATAATGGTGGATACCTGGGAGGTGGAGTTGAAGTTGAAGATGCGTTTACTGAACTCCGAGCAGTGGGAAAAGCCGATGGTGTGGGCGCCGGAGAGGGTGACGAGTTCTTGGACGGTGAGGTTTTTGGAGGCGAAAATGGCGATGAGTTTGTCAACGGGCATGTAGGGGGTGGCGATGTGGCCTTCCACGTCGGAGGCGCGGGAAACGAGGCCGTCTTTCCGGCCGAGCAGGACTTCGTAGTGGGGCCCGCCGACCATGGTGATAAGGTTGCGCGTGGCCACGGCGAGGATGTCGGCGCAGGAGACGGTGTCGGGGCACGCCAGTTCCAGCGCGGTTTTCAGGCGGACGACGAGGTCGAAGGCGTCGCCGGGGAGGGATTGGTTGATCTCGGCGTCGCGCTCGGTGCTGCCTTGGGCGTTGGAGGCGATGAGGATCGTGGCGTCGCAGCCGCCCACGACGCAGTCGTGGAAGAACACGCGGAGGATTCCGGCGGCGGTGGTCGGGGCGGCCATCTGTTTTTCGACGATGATTTTCTCCATGGTGTCTGAGAATTGTGGGCATGTTTTCTCGTAGTAATCTTTACTTAGATTTGACTCCGTCGTATAAATTAGGGCCAAAAATGGCAGCAGAAAGAGATGGAGACGGTACAGAGAAAACGCCATGGCTGACCTTGAAGAGATGGAGGCGGAAAAGATTATTGATCAGATCAGAGGGAATTGAAGAGGAAATGGAACCCTTTTTCTTGAATTTTGAGTTGGGAAACATGTGGTGGATACAACGTTGTATTGCCATGTTTGTTTTGGATCGGACACAACCCGAGTTTCACTCTTTCCCAACAAAATACTAATTTTATGGTGATTATATTGCTAGCAAGCAAATGAAATATACCCACAATTATATTATTTCTTTATCCAATTAATTTCGCCATGCAAGGAGACTTTGTCCTGAATCAAGGATAAGGGTTGATGAATATTTATGTGTAAATCATGGTAATTCATCAACTAAACATATATGCTAAACATTTGCTTACTGCACAGTACACAAGGAACTCCCTCAGTGATCGAGGGTGAGACTCTCATCCGCTGCTGAACACAGAGGTTAAACATTTGCTTACTGTGCACAAGGAGTCCCCTCACTTTGAGATCGAGGGTGAGACTCAATCCTGAGCCATTGCTCTCTTTACCCTTATGATGACTAACTGAGTTGTCTATGCAGGCGGGTTTTGTATTAGTTATTGGCTTTGGAGGTACGCCAGCAAATTAAAATATGTAGCATGCATATGTTTTTGTTAAGGGGATGGGCTCTTGATTTGGCAAGGGAAATTGGGACTTTAATCCTCATGCTTGTATTTAGAGATTTAATCCAATCCACAACCCTATTCTGTTCTCAAAACACATGGAAGCCCACCACTTCCTATATATATATATATATATATATATATATAGTATTGTCCTTAATAATAAGGTGCTTTTTTTATTTTATTTTTTATTCTTTATAGGGGGAATTCCATTTTTGGTCCTATTGTTATAAGGGTTTTTTCAATTTTAGTCCACTATAATTATTTGTCACATTGTGTCCACTATTATTAAAAGTGTTCAAATTTTAATCCACTTTAAGATTTTTCGTGGACTAAAATTGAAACACTTTTAATAATAATGGACGTAATGTGGCAAAAATAATTATGGTGGTCTAAAATTGAAATAACCCCTTATAACAGTAGGACCAAAAATGGAATTCACTCTTCTTTATATTAGGTTGATATTCGTATTTTACAATACTAATTCAACTACTTTGTCCATACGACCATACCTTGACATATATATATTGCTTCGAACCCTGAACAAATTACTATTGTGTTTAGCAATCGTTATACCGTGCACCAGGGTACACATAGCATTATGCGCCCCGCGCCTCCCAAAACGACGTCATTTTGTTAAGTTGTTAAAAAAAATCATCTGTTTCGAATGCACATAAACTCATAACAGAATACACAAACTCATAACGGAATATACATAATCTAACATTATACGTAATACACATAAACTTTGAACTGAATACACATAATGTGGTTTGGTTAATATAATACACATAAATTCATAACACAATACACATAAACTTTTAACTGAATACACATAATGGGGTTTGGTCTGTTCAGACTGACGGAGTGACGTCAGCAAGAAACGCGTGCATTTTGTGTCTGGACGCACATTGCTATGTGCACCGTGGTGCACGATATAAATTGCCTGTGTTTAGGCTGCATCTTTCATATATAGGGTGTTTCATTGGGCCTTTTCAAGTAAGGCTTTATTGTTGCAAAGTTGGCTATTTGTAATTTTTGTACCTTGGGCGTGCACAAGTATATATGATGGGTGAACCAATAATTGAAATAATATATGATGGTATTCAAATGAGAACTAGGTAAGAGATGATTTGATATGTAAGGTTCGATCAATGATTGACCTATTTAAGTTAACGTTCTATTTCTGATTAAGCAAGTGCTTATTGTTATGTCGAAATCATATACCTAGTAGTAGTGAAGGCGAACATTATTTTTGTATACATGTGTAACAGTAATCGTCACGTTTTAATGACAAAATACGAAACTTAGTATTTCAAGATGAAGCCAAAAATAAGGAAACTAGCTAGATGGATGGTAATGATAATCGATCATAGTCCATAGATGAGAATTCATGTATATGTGAAAGCTTTTGTAAATATTATAAAACGTTTTGTTAGGTTACAAAACAATGTTTCTATTTTTAAAGAAAAATATACCATTAATCTGAAAGATCACGAGACAATGCTTATTAATACCTGGAAAAAAAAAAAAAAAAGTGACATGCCACCCGCTCTTACCTGATAAAGAAATAATCTCTCGCATGGGCAGCTCAATTGGTCACAGGGCTGCAGTTTAGAAACAACGATTTGAGATTAAGTATCACAAACGACAATGTGAGAGTGACCTCTTAAAGTGAAGAATTCGGGGCTTTGTGCGCAATAGGTCTAATCTATTTGTTCAGTTGATGCTATGTTGAGTCAAGACGTGAGAGACCATTGGAATTGGGGACAATTAAATGAATATATGTGATTAATATGCACTTTTACAAGGTACTTACTCTTTTAATGATGAGTACATTACATTATTTTAATCACAGATAAAGTGCAATTAAGCCACTGAACATTCCAAAAATGTGCAATTTCACCTGATAGCAGGTTACCCTCAATTTTAGTAGGTTATCTGCTTACGTGGCAGCTGAGTTGGCATTTTTAATAAATTTTAAATTATTTTTAATAAATTTTAATAATAAATTTTTATTTAAAAAATAAAAATGAGTTTATTTTATTTTTTATTTAATTTTTTTTCAATTTTTTATAAAATTTATTATTAAAATTAATTATTAAAAATTATTTAAAAATTATTAAAAATGCCAACTCAGCTGCCACGTAAGCAGGTAACATGCTAAAATTGATGGTAACCTGCTATCCGGTGAAATTGCATACGTTTGGAGAGTTCAGTGGCCTAATTGCACGTTTTTGAAGTGTTCAGTGGCCTAATTGCATTTTCAGGTTACGTTCAGTGGCCAATTTGAACCTTATTCCTAAAATAAATTAAAATCATATTCTGTATTACTATATATATGTACTACTATCAATTAAATAAAATAATTATTATTCACAGATAGCTAGCTTGAAAAGTTGTATACCCGGCCCACTGCCCAATTAAGCTAAACCACAATCGTTATGCGTTGGACCCGTGTCCAGCATGCTTGCTGGACATGGGTAACAGTGCCGTTAGGCACTGTTATCTCTTTTTTTTTTTTTTTTTTTTTTTTTTTTTTTTTAAATTTCAGACCGCTTCATTGTAATAGTATATGTTCATAATTTTATTACTATATGTTAATAACTATACGTTCATAACTACATAACTGTACGTTCATAACTCTATAACTGTACATTCATAACTCCATAACTGTACATTCATAACTCCATAACTGTATATTCATAACTCCATAATTGTACATTCATAATTTTCGAAGCTCTATGTTCATAATTTTATCACTATATGTTCATAATTGTAAGTTCATAATGTTAGAGCTCTTTGTTCATAATTCGATCAATAACTGTACATTCATAATTCCATACTGTAGATTCATAATCTCATAACTGTAGATTCATAACTTCATAACTGTAGATTCATAACTCTATAACTGTACATTCATAACTGTACATTCATAATCTTCGAAGCTCTATATTCACAATTTTAAAGCTCCATGGTCATAATTTTATCACTATATATGTTCATAATTGTAAGTTCATAATGTTAGAGCTCTGTGTTCATAATTTCATAATTGTATAACTGTATATTCATAACGGCATAATTGTACATTCATAACGGCATAACTGTACATTCATAATCAAAAAAAAAAAATAACGCCGTTAACGGCAAAACGCGCGCGATTTTTTTTTTTTTAATAACTAAATGACGCGTTTTTTTAAAAAAACGACGTCGTTTTGGCCCATGTCCACAATTCAATGTGGACACGGGTCCAGGGCATAATTTGCCGCTAAACCATAATTATCTTTTACTCCATTAATGGACTCTATATATTATCTATATATGGTCGAAATAAGTAAACCTAAAAGACATCATCCTTTTATTTATTTATTTATTTTTATTTTTTATTTGAGTACTATTGACTCTATTACAAGGTAGTATCTGTTCTATATATTTTCTTTATCTAATGCAGCTCAAAGAGTCAATACCTCACCATCGGCCCGGGATTTGATCCTGTGACCTTCCCTTCAAGGGGAGTCACAGAGGTGTCATCTGAGTAGAAGGTACTTGGCTAAAAGACATCATCCTAAACACATGATGTCACCCTCTCAATCGAGCTCGTGGCACAAAATATTTTTTGTGTAATTTATCTCTTTTATGTGAGTTACGAATTATTATATCAAAAATAAAATAAATTTAGTCCATACACAATATTAAATAATGACTGAATTTTTCTCTTCATCCCACAAAACTTACGCGGTGTTCATAATTTAATTTGATAAGATTCTTTACTTTTTGGAGATCAACATAGTTGTTGAAGATGGTCGCTGCCTATATAATTGTATGCCTTTCCAAGAAGGAAAATAAAGTGACAACACATATTTGTTTGTCATTGTATGTACCATGATTCTGTTTAGTTCTAGTATTTTGTACGATATTTTTAAAAATTGAAGTTAATATATCTTATTTTGATTGATTCAGACCAAAAAAAAAAAAAAAAAAAAAAAACACAATGAGCTAGCTACATTTTTTTCCCAATAAAATTAAGATAGACAATAAAATTTTACTCCTCAGAATATACTTATTATTTCCCATGTTAAACTGTTATTTTATAATTATACACATTTTTGTTATCTGAGTTTTGACAATTTTATCCCTCAAAGGACAGTATTTTTTAATGTTATTTTAAATTTCACTGTTATGTCATTAGAGAATATTGTAATATCTTGTTTTTTACCATCTTTCAAGAACAATTTTTTTTTTTTAATATATAAGTTTTGGAAAATGAGAGGTTTAATTTAATTGGATGGGTTATTATGTACTTATAAGTTGTAATTTATTATTCTCATTGGTGAGGTGTACATCCAACATTGTACGGGCTGATCACTGTTAAAAAGTCTATATATGCAAGTCGGATAAGTTTGTAGTGACTGAAATATGACAACTAGTAACAAGTTATGCACGTAAAGAA